TTAAGTTAAAAAAAAATTAAAAAAAAAAATTAAACCCTAATAACCCTAATTAGGTCTAATCCCCTATTAGACATAATTAACCTTCTTAAACCCTTATTACATTATGTTTAAGATAAATTAAAACCTAATTAGGTGTAATCCTTTATTATACCTAATTAACCTTCTTAAACCTTAATAAAATTAAGTTTAAATCAAATTAAAGCATAATTAAGTCTAATCCCCTATTAGATCTAATTAAACTTCTTAAACCTTAATTACATTAGGTTTAAGTCAAATTAAACCCTAATAAGTTCTAATCCCCTATTATACTTAATTAACCTTGTTAAACCTTAATTACATTTGGTTTAAGAAACATTAAACCCTAATTAGGTCTAATCCCTTATTAGACCTAATTAACTTCCTTAAATCTTAATTACATTAGGTTTAGCTCAAACTAAACCCTTATTAGGTCTAACTTAAATTAGACTTAATTAATATAATTAAACCTTACTTACATTAGGCTTAATTAACTTATAAACTCTAATTAGTTCTAACATAAATTAAAACTAATTAATCTAATTAAACCTTAGGTTTAAATAATCCCTAAGCAAACTAAGTCTACCATAAATTAGACTTAAAATATCCATTAAGTCTTATTTAAATTAGGCTTATTCTCTTAAACCCTTAGGTTCAACTACATTCAACCTAAGTAAATCTAAACCCTTAGGTTCAACTTACATTGAACCTAAGTAAATCTAAACCCTTAGGTTCAACTCACATTGAACCTAAGTCAAACCTAAACCCTTAGGGTTTAGATTCACCAAAACCTAAGACAAATCAAACTTTAAGTTCAAACCATGTTGAACCTAAACCTACTTAACCCTTAGGTTTAACTCACATTGAACATACGTTAAACCTAAACCCCTAGGCTCAACCTACATTGAACCTAAGTCAAACTTAAACTTTTAGGTTCAACCCATCTTGAACCTAAGTCAATCTTAAACCTACTTAAGCCTTAAGGTTTAACCCACATTGAACCTAAGTTAAATCAAACTTTAGGGTCTACCTACATTGAACTAGAAACACTTCGTACCTTAAGTCCTACTTAAATTGGACTTAAACCATTTCATACCCTAGGTTCTACCTAAATTGGACCTAAAATTATCTCTAATCTTTAGGTTCTACCCAAAATTGAACCCAAGTGATATTAAATCTTATATCCTACCTACTTGGACTTAAATCATCTTAAACTTTAGGTTCTACCTACATTGAACCTAAAACATTTCATATCCTATACTAGGTTCTAAACAAATTGAAATTAAGTATTGTTAAACTTTAAGTCCTACCAAGATTGGACTTAAACTATCGCTAACCTTAGGTTCTACCTATATTGAACCTACCACCTCATACCTTGTATCTTACTTAAATTGGACCTAAAACCATTTCTAATCCTTAGTTTCTACCCAAATTGAACTTAAGTAATATTAAATCTTAAGTCTTACCTACAATGGACTTAAACTATCTTGATCTTTAGGTTCTACTTACATCAAACCTAAACCATTTCATATCCTAAATTCTACCTAAATCGAACCTAAAATTATTTCTAACCTCAGGTTCTGCCTAAATTGAACCCAAACCATCTCAATCCTTAGGTTATAATAACATTTAAACATGAAATATGAGGTATGAATTAAACTTCTATGGACATAACCGATAATCAGATTTAAAATAAATAACACAACAAATAAAAATTAATTGACAAAAGACATAAAAATCATTTTTAAAGACATTAAAACTTAAATTTGAACCTAAAAACATAACTTAAACATCAGTGTTTAGGCGTACAAAGATTTCTTGGACGACGCAATCTGTGCTTGCTGACAAAAATCTTCCGGTCTTGGTTTAAACACATTTTGGTATAAGTAGATCTAAATACCCTTATGGCCTTGTGACGACAGAGCCATAGACATCTTAACCGAGTCATCTAAAAATTATTGAACCAGCTAAATCAACAAATTTAAACATGATTTCATATTAATCGTGTTTTATTTTAACAGATTTATTGGAAATATGAAATAATTACGCTTCAGATTTACTTTGCATGTTATTAGGGTGTGCTAACTCTGTTTTGTAGGACGACACTCTGAAGCGGAAAAGGTGAACTTCAAGACAACAAAACAACAACAAAAACAAACAAAACAAAATGACAAAAAAATAAACAAAACAAAATGACAACAACAAAACAAAACTACAATAAAAAAACAAAAAAAAATCAACAAAATAATGACAACTAAACAAAATAACGACAACTAAACAAAATAACGACAACAAAACAAAACAACAAAACAACATAAACAAACTAGAACAATATGACACAAATAAAGACAAGAAAAAACAAACCAAACTTTTAGGATAGTAAAAAAAATTTAGAAACATATTTCCCCAAGGATTGAACATTGATGTTTCTTTCCTTGATCTTGACATCAAAAATAGAAATTTCTTAGAGAGTGAGGGTTAATGATAATCAGGAGTTTTCTTAGATAGTTTTAATTTTTTGAGATGTAATTAACTATAGAAGCTTGCTAATACAAGAGAATGAAGATATGTAATATACATATATCTATGGTTATTGAGGTTTTCATCTGGTTTTTCTTATACGAGAATCTCAAGAATTGGATATCCTAGTATTTCTCTGGAATTGAGTCTATTTTTTCAAAGATAGTGTCGTTGGGAAGCTATTTAGAGATATGGTAGGAATCCTATTTTCAAAATAATAGAGCCTCAAGCTTAACAAAGTAATAAGAAAGAAGCCAAATTATTGTTTCTATCATAGACTCCTAGGACATAAGATTGAAGAATGTCTCTCTTTTAAAGACCAACTTAAGAGAAATCACACAGATGGTACCATAATCATTCCCAAAGAATAATTGAAGGAACTAAAAGAAGATGTCATAAGTGTTGTCTTTGGTGAAGGTGTGGAACCTTATCACCCATATAAGGAAGAAGGTTAGAATTTTATCATGTCTAAGACTTTTAAGAAGATTAGTAGGAAATTTTTTAGCCTTTCAGAGTAAGCTTTTGATGGAACCCAAGCATCGATCACACAAAATGTACTTTTAGTCCTGAATAAAAGAAAGAGGTAAAATCAACACTGAAGCCAACAACATAAGAACGTAAAACTAAAGGAGAAATTGTATGTAAGGGTACAATTAAGATTATAGAGATTTTTCCTTCTAGGATAATTATTTTGGCGGGTCCTATGACTCTTGTGCCACTAACTCTGTCTAAATTTTATTATGGTCGCACTCAGGCCATTAATAAAAGGAGTTGTGGTTTTCGTTATACTTTATATAATTTTAATGAATATTTTTTAAATTACTAAAGTAATAATAACACCAAAAATTTTAATAATTATAATAATTATTATCATGTCATAAAAAAATCTATTAAAAATGCTCATGAAAGTGATGACCTTTCTATTGATAGTAATGTCCCTATCCATAAGTTTAAGGGTACGACAATTATAAGATGTGAGTCATGTAGGGCATAGTTGATTACTTAGGTTGTAGTATTTGAATGCGAGAAGAGAGCTTTAAGAGTTTGAAGAAATTTGTTGTATTTCGAGTACAAAGGTTCTAAGCAGTTATTAGGGGGTGTGTTGTTACCCCATCTTCGGAATGCATCGTTGTACTATATATAGAGCATGCCATTATATTCTATCGTTACACCTTCTTCAGGTGCATTGTTATTCCTTCTTTGGGGTGCATTATTACATTCTATGTGGGGTGGGAATTACAAAATCATAGGGGCCTTGTTAAACCCTCTATGGGATGCAATATTACATCGCTCTCTAGGTGCAATGCTTCGTAGGATGCTCATAAGGCTGGTCGTTATTTTGCAGGGTGGTGATTCGTTACTCCATAGTGTACATCGTGATTCCTTAAGGGGTTTCGTTCCAATGGGCAAGGATGGCCAATATTGGTCAACGACAGTTGATGAGTGGTGATTGACCATGGTTTGCCGTGGTAGGAATGGGAAGCGTTTGTTAGAGCATCGGTGTAGAACACTAGACTTTAGCTTTCTCTTATGCTTATCCTCCTCCGAGCTCGTCTTCCTCTACTTTCATGAACGGGGTAGGGCCCTATTTGTAAAGTCTAGGAGAAGCCTCTCAACAAATAAGGAAAAAATCTAGACCACTCCGTCGCACGCCCCAGAGAGATACCTTTGATCAAACAACAATCTACGTACATTTTAGTACCTTAACGGTGTGATAATTGGGTATCTTGGACTCGTTGGATTCATCTCATTGAGATACTCAATTTGACTATAAGTTGTCAAATTTAGAATGTATTTGGCCTTCCAATTTGGCACCAAAAAGCTTACATAAATGATTTAATTACTCGATCTAAGTTTGATTAGACTCGAATTATGTGAATATTGGTGTCATTACATTTGTCTCGTCAATCTGGTCAGTGTAAGTTTACTAAAGTCTATGTGTTGGATAATTTTTAATGCGAGTTTAAATATTTCTTACTAAAAAGAAGCTTCAATATCCTCTAGACCGTCTCGAGCATCATGCCAAATGACATTTTTTTTGTTGATAACATATTAATTTTATTTCTACTCATTTTTTTAATTCCATTCATTTTACTTAATGCACATCCTCATGTAAGTGGTCTAAAAAACTCAAGTTTTTTCTTAAAAAAAAATAGTACTTAATTATTAGCATACAAATTAAATTTTGAGAAATTCATTAAATTAAATTAGCATTAATACCTTAAGAAATAAGTAAAATATATTTTTTCTTATATATATATATATATATATATATATAATTTAAATATAATATTTTAAGTATTTAAAATTTTCATTTAAACATTTTTGTGTGAATTTAATAAATTGTATGTAATGAAATAAATGATTAGAATGTTATATTCAAATTTTAAATAATTAAAATGTTTTGTATAATATTAAAAGCACTTAAAAACCAAAAAATCAAAGCTCTCGATTGTCAAAAAGAAAAGAAGCATCTACGAAGGAGAGCAAGCTTGACGTCCAAGTAATCCAAGCAATCGCTCTTCGTACTTTATATATTGCTTCCATTATAATTCGGCCGACGCAGAACCCGTAAAACCCCTACTCAGATTGTGTTTTCTTCTTCGCATGCCTTATGAGTATGATGTCGGAAGGGATTCGGGAGCCTAACGTCGTTGATGACTTCGATATCGACGTTCTCTTGCAACGATTCAGCGATGATCCCTCTCTGGACTTCGATATCGACCTCGACCTCAATCTCCTCCGCGAGTCCTGGGTTCCCGATTCCGATCTGCCTCCAAATGTCTTCCAGTCTTCAGAATTTACCAATCCGGTTTCAGTTCCCCCTAGGAATGATGATCCCCCAACGCTGGAGGCTGACTCTCCGTTTTCCGTCTCTTCGTTCGTGAACTACATCGAGAACTTTCTTATGGAAGATGTCGATTGGGGCGACGGAGGAAAGGGAGCCGGCGAAGACGGTGTAGCGGATTTTTTCTCGGGAGTGCTATTTGATGATTCAATAAAATCAAAGGATGATGTGGATAGCCCTGAATCGTATGATGCGTCAATTAAGGAGGGCCAGAGCAAAGAGGAAGTGGTTCCTGAGGTGGTTGTGGCTGAGGATGATGACGTTTCTGTCAGCAAGAAACGGAGAAGGTATGCTTGATTAAAAATTGTTCGATTGTTCATTGAAGCCAAATCACTTGACCCTTTTTTTTGTTTTCTTGTTTGCTTTTAGGCTTGTATTGTGTTAAAAAAAAAAAAAAAAAAAAACTTTTGTATTGGAGCCATATAAAAAAAATGCTGTAATATACCTAGTGCAGTTTGTAATTTTTTGTTTTTATTTTATGCTTCAACTCCTCAGGCAAATGAGGAATAGAGAATCTGCTATGATCTCGAGAGAGAGGAGGAAAATGTACATAAAGAACCTTGAGATGAAGAATAAACACTTGGAGATGGACTGCCGTCGCCTTGACTATACTCTCCAGTGTTGCATGGCGGAGAACCTGGCGTTACGCCAGAGCTTGCAGTTTCGGAAGAATAGGTCTTGCGGTGCTTCCGCGTCCAAACAGGAGTCTGCCGTACTCTTCATGGGTAAGGCGTACCATGAGCAATATCTTGGCCTTTGGATGTTCTTCTTTAAACTTCTTAGAATTGTTTAGAATTTTGTTAAATTGTATGGATACTTGTTATATTCTACTTCTCCCATTGCATCTTTTGTTTGGTCTAATTTTTTGTCTGTTTTTCAAACTTGGCTGGAAATTACTTGCATTTAGGTGGTGTTTGGGAGCATATTTATTATCAGATTTTGCCATGGATTTAACTTAAATCCAGCCAAACATCGAAAAAATGAAAAATAAATCCAACACTCCGATAAATCGAACTTCATCTAGTTCTTTTGCTTCTTTCTTGCGTTCCATCAACTTAAATCTAGATTTAGTAATTCCAATTGCGAGACGGATTTATCAGGTCGTGGAACGAGCTCCTCCTGTTGTTTGTGTAATTTGAATTTATCGATTACATAAATCTTGTTAAACGTAAATCTGATCTTCAGCCAAACACCGCCATAATGCAAAGATGCAAACTAGATATTTGTTGGCATTTTTATGTTAGCTGCTGGATTTTCCTGTAAGTTGGCTCTTTTGAAATTAAGCAAATCTAAAACTCATTCTTTAAAGTATGTCATCATTACTTCCAATTTGGTTGTACAACTTTTGTTTTCAATTTGAACTTGCTTGAGCCTTACCAATTATTTTGTATGCCTTGTTATCATCCCGTTTTCTTGATGTGGATGTGCTTTTTTATGCTTTGACAGAATCCCTGCTGTTGGGTTCCCTGTTCTGGTTCGTGAGCCTCGTGTGCCTATTTCTTCTTCCCAGCCTGCGAAGCCTAAGACCAAACTTGAAAGCTTTAAGCTGGTTGGAAAGAGGTCTCGCAATGGTGGTTGCAAGGAGAAAAAGTAGAAATATTCTTACATTGGGTAAATATTTAAAACTTAATCTGCTTGGACTGAGAAGACGATGCAGAAGCATGAGAGCTAGGATGAAGTTCTTTTTATTTCCGCTCCATGCCTTTCTTGCCTAATTTCAATTGTTATGTTGTTGGTTTCACTTTCCTTGACATTTGAAATTCTTTTACTATTATGTTTCTACTTCCGAGTTTCCTTTTAAATTACTATTTATTTTTGTGCAAAACAATATTTATGGTTTTTAAGTAATACTAATGGTCTAGTTCTGTGTTATGATAGCATATATCCAGCCAATTTGATTTTAGAATATAAGTTATAATGATTTCTAAAGTACACCCATATATATATATA